ATGCTACAGACCTAGGAAGAAGGTACCTGAATTTGCACAAGGGGCTGGGCTCAAGTGACATATCTTGTTTGGCATGAAAGTGAAAATAGTGTAAGAAAATATTTTACTAGCATGCTTATATCACTGTTATATTGAAACCAATGCTCAGACCACAGCACCTTAAAGAGATTTTTAAAAATTACATCCATACACCTACCCTTTGCCATCACTATTACCATTCCATATCTGCCCACACATGGGTCAACTTTGACTTCATGATAAAGCCTTATATTTAAATTGTGCTATATTTTTAAGTTATACATTAAAAAGCCTCATGCCTTAAGAGCACTCTCTTCAAGATGCAAAGTCACCTGATCTACAACTATCAAAGGGTTTCTTGTGTACCAAAACCCCTGAGAAAAGTAACACCTTGCCCTAGAAGTATTCTAAATACATGGCAGAAGAGAATTTTTACTGACAATGGAGAGAAATAACTTGAAGGCAGGAATGACTAAAACAGGACCAAAAGAGAGTATCTAAGCTGGAGAAGACAGCAAAACAACACAGAAAGAGGAGAGGTAGGTGGTAGTAAAGACCAATCCTTCACAGTTTTGACTACATTGCTCTGTCACTTCGTTTTGAACGTGACAACATCATATCTCTCTGGGCAATAAAACAAAAGTTATCATTGGTATCTTTTGAGTAACCAGTAGAAAAAGAGCTAGAATAATTTCAGGATAGATGCATTGCTACCTGTTAAGAATAAACCCTCTTACTGAAGCTTTCCAAAGTCAATGTTGGGTAAATTACTCACGGTGGCCACAACCACATATTTCTTCCCAATACAAGGTCATACAGTTGAATTCTGAGTAATCACTTTCTGATTAACTTTTCTCCAATACCCCGTCTCAGTCAACAGCCCTGAAGTTCTATGTGCTGTGAAAATTTTACAAAAGGAAAGCTCATTTAAAGTGGAATCCAGATCCCAGAATGGAAAGCTGTCACACCTAAACACTTGTCATCAATTGCAGACCCAACAGGAAGAGATGGACCTTGCAAGTCCATACTGTTTTACTATCCTGCAGAGGAAAGAAACATTTTCTACTCTCCCTGGCAAAAGCCCCAGCCAATAAGAGATTGTCACAAATTAGCCAATGACAAGCCATTATACTGAGAACCCCTAGTTTACTCCAATGGGTTTTTTGTTTGTAACAGCCCTTCTCAAATGCCCACCCCCACCCCTCCCTTCTATAAAAGATAATTTTTCTCCTTTGTTCTTGAGTTTGTCTATGGTTTTGCCATAGCTTGCTTGTCCTGAATTGCAATTCTCTATTATTCCTGAATAAACCCATTGTTGCTGGTAAAATAACTGCCAGCTTCATTTTTAAGATTAACAGTACATAAAGCCATTTAGAGAGTTTTGTGGAAACGACCCTTTAAATTTAAGGAAATAAAGAGATGAAAGATTAAAACACACTGACAAGCAGCAATTTGTTGAAAAGGTGATGAGTTGATGTCTCTACTATAATTCACAGACCTCACAGTGAATGTTTTTGAAGTAGCATCCTATGAATTAAACTCCCTACTTGTCATGTTATCACAGTTTTATTAGAGGCAAATTCCTTTGAATTTGAGTGTTTCAGGCATTTATCTGAAGGAACTCACTCATGAGTAGGATTTTAAAAATTGTTTATAGTTCTCTTCAACCGACAACAATCTTCTGACTCTTGGGCATTGGAAGATGGCCTAACTAAAAGGTTCATTTATTTTTCTGCACCTGTGATTTCATTCCTAAGTGGTGTGAAGAGCTCCTGAATCTCTGGTTCAAAATCAGGACTTTTCTTTTCCAAATTACTGAGCTCCCATTACATTTACAGGTGAGTCAAAAAGGCATTCTCTGTGTTATTGCCTTCTATGTAATGCTTGAAGAGAAAAGAGAGGTAATTATTCACTTAGTGGGGTGGGAGAGAAGGAAAGTTACCTTATCACTGTTTTAAAACAAAGGACATATCTATAATGCTTTGTGAGGGAATCCTAGCTAGACATTTCTTTTCTGTGCTCTTACATCAATCATACTTTCCTAGTTGGGGATAAATGAATCATAATCCATAGCATCTCACATATCATATTTTGGTGTGTAAGCAATGCAGACAAACACATTTCTTACCACCCTCTTCAACACATACAAACACCTATTGACTTTAATTGTTCACAGTTCTCCATTAACTAAACACTCAGTCTACCTGATGTTGACCATCAATTCTAGGTCTACATTAAGATTAAATAAGACAAGAATCTAACCTGTTAATAATTGACAGGGAGATTTTGGTCTTTCAATTTCCCCTTGGAAAACTTGTAAGAAAATAGGGCAAACAGGGAAAGAAAGGGATCTCCCCCATGACTGTCAGCCAGCATATGTAATGTATTCATTTCTCACTGTTCACTTTTTATTGTGTTATGGAACCAGGAAGAATGACTTTGTATTGTCCCTGGGTTATTAGAAGTGTCTGATTGTTTGGAGTTAATTCTTTGGATCTAAGGAGTTTGTGAATACAATACAATTTTTTTAAAACCTAGGAGCATGTTGAGTTTCTCTCAAAGAGCATCTTTTTTTGTTTGCTGTTTGGCTGATTGATTTTTTTGGGTTTTTTTAAGGATGTGGAGGTGCTCCTGGGGACACATGCTGCCCCTTTCAGTCTCTCAGGTGGTGGTTCCAAGTGCTCTGCTCACACAGGGCACACCGGAGCTACGTGCTGGGCAGTGCTAGGCAGGGCTAAGCAGCACTAGGCAGGGCTGGGCAGGGCTAATGCTGGATGAAGAGCATCTTTGCATAGTCAACTTTCTGCTTTAGAGCACCTCCCATAGTTTCAGCCCATTAACCCAAACACAACAGCTTGATGAATTAATGCTTATATAGGCACAGTTGGCAGCTTCTAATTAAATAATTATGGTTAAGCGTCTGCACAGAAGCTGTTATGCACCCTAGAAAGCCAGCTGTCAGTTTTATTGGTCCTAAGACAGAGGAAGAGTTAATACTTAGCTCTGGATGTTACATACAAAGGGAAGTATATCATATATGATATATACACTGTGCAATATGAAGTTGCATTGTGCTTGTGCTAGCCTGTCCATTAGTGATGAAGAGCAAACTGTTCCTCAGCAACCTCTCAGAAACCCAACAAAGAAGGAAGCAATTATATGATCAGCAGAGCAGAACCTGTTCAGAGCAATTTACAGAGGACATAGTGTTAGACGGATGAGTCTTTGATGAACACACAAATGTCACTGAGCTAGCAGGCAAATACATTTCTGGGTTTCGTTTAGATGAGCAAGTGATAGAAGTCTAATGTGGTCTTTTTTGAGATGGTTATGGTGGGTGTGTTTTCATTTACTTGCCTAAAGCTTCTTAAGATGCTGTTTTCAAATATTAGAAATTGGAGAACAAAGTAAATGTCACAAACCTAGATTTGAACTCTTTCTAAGATGCATTTTTCCAAAAAGTTAGGAAGAGATATTTGTTCTATAGAATTACAGATAATGTCAGAGTCCTTTATAGAAGGTTAAAAAGCTAGAGTCTTATCTCACCACCCGTGGGGTGGTATCTGGTGACTAAGCTCCATCAGAGAGGAAGATATAGATTATAGATAAAGGCCATTGATAGGTTTGTTGGACCAAATAATGCTTGTTATTACACATCAATATGTTTTTGAACTGATAGCTGATTCCATTTTTCTCCACAGGCTGTCCTTTCCACACAATCCGTGTGTCCTCACTTCTAAAAATCAAATGTGCCATAACCCAGCACAGAACAACTCAGCTTGCCACTAGCCTCTTTAACCAGGGTTCCCAGAACCATCTCCACATGAATAAACACAACTGTAGGCAAAAATCAGTCCAGGACATTCAGTCATACTTTTACGTTTAAAAAAGAAATAGACATTTTAATCCCCCGAATTTATGGATTTACCTTAAAATAAGAGGAAACTGAATTCTAAAGTGGAAACATTTCTTATGAAATTCTCTTCACCCAACCCCCAGGCCTTGTTAAAAATCAACTGTTAAATCAAGCACTAAACTTTACAGACTGATTTACTGTTCCCCCTCCAGAGATCAAGGCTTAAAGTTTATTTAGAACAATGCCATTTCATAAAACAAAGCAATGTGTACCTTATGTCATCATTTAAGCAAATGGACTGACCTCTAAGTGCTTATTTAAAATGCTTCAGAACAACTGCTTCCATTCCTTTTACCCCCTCCCATTTCCTTTGATGTCAGTAATTCTATCACCTCAGCTGTCTGGAGATACTTGCTTGTGATTGACAATTCTCAAAGATCTAGTTCCTTTTAGACGGATCTTAGACAAAGTTCAGTACAATGAAGTCTGCAGTGCAACTCAAGTCTCAGTACAAAATGCTAAAGAATCAGATAGATTTGTAAAGCCTATAAAAGCAAGTTTCAGACTTGGTGGGGCAGATAGGGGGTCTTTTTATCAGTCTATACTGCCATCTATCTAAGCAAGACCACATCATTTGGTATTAAATCCATTTGTGTTTTCAAAGCCCCTAAAGGAAAGCAAGTCTCCAGCAACTGGCTTTACAGATCCCAAAGTTCCGATAAAAGAATGGACAGCACCACCACATTCACTCTGAGTCTGCCAGTCTCTTGTGGACCAACAGCCAAGTTCTAACCATCATCTTATCCTCACAACTCGATATCTGGCAAACAGACATACATGTCTGCTTTCATTCCCCATATCACCTAAACCAGTATCATTTGCATCTTGTGATTTCTGAGGCCTCTGAATATTCTGTGATGTCATTGATAAAACAGATGAGAGTTGCTTAGATAGACATGAGACCCGAATTATAGCCTCTAGTATTCTAGCTATACCTCAGGAGTTTAAAAACAAAAACAGACAAACAAAACCCAGAGTATTCCTTAGACACTGACTGAACGTTCAAACAAACATCTGTAGAGAGAATTGATACAGGTGAAAAATAGAAAGAACTCTTTGTACTTACGGTAGAAGACATATTCAGTGTAGCTTGACCAGATCTTGTCATCTGTATATTGGTTGACAAAAGATGCTGTCACTGAGGAGTTACAGGCCACCATGTGGAATCCACACTCTGACAACATATCAAAAGCCCTTTCCAGATGCTTGAATTTGAGATAAAATCTGGAGGTGTATCTTTCTGGGGCTCGGTCAGGGTCTCTGCTCTCATTCAAAGTTTCTCCAAAGACTTCTTTTGCCAAAGAAATCCTTCCACAAACCAAAATCCGAGGAACTCTACGAAACTTGGCATCTGCCTGCCCCTCTCTGCCCATGGTGCAGGACCCCCTGTAGCCCACAGTAATGAAGCCCCACTTGCGGTCTGCAGGGAGCACTGAGGAAGGAGGGCAGATTCTCGTGTCGCTTCCTTGGGAGGCATCTTCAAAGTCACTATGGCAGAATTCGTCCGGGCTTTGCTTGATCTCATCAGGGGTCAGGAGTTTGACCAAGTCTGGGAGCTGGAAATACTCAGCTTCCCTTTTCAGTCTTCCCCTTTCTGGAAAGTGATCAGGCAGGACCACCTGCCTGTCCCTGAGATAGTCCAGAATATAACGGAACAAGAATCCGTCTCTGTCAATGAAAAACCTTCCTTTGGAGTCCTTGGCTAGATCGTTAGCCGTGTCTCTCTTTGGGGAAAACATTTTCCACAGGAAGGAATGAGGGATGCTTATTAATGTGGAATGGCGGGTGAAATAAACTTGACCGCCAACATTCAGCTCCACGACCTCAGGGAAGGAGTTGGGAACTGCAGCCCCTTGTTCTCGAGGATAATAACGACTACAGTTTCCACTCAAAGCCATTGTCCCTGTCTTCTTTTGCTTCTCCTATTTTGATTTGAAGGCGCAATCCAATGGAGTCACAGCCTTATCCTTTGCATCAACTTGTCAAAGAGGGAGAAGGATGCTAACTTCTTAAAAATGACCTTCTCTCTTACCCCAGTTTTTTCCCCAAGCAAGCAAAATTTAGAAGAGTCCACAGGTGAAGTGATGCTGCAAAAGTAGTTTAAACCCTGGCTGGTGGTGAGCTATTACTTCATAGAATATAATCAACTCATCTCCATCCGATCTGCCCCAAGCTCAGATGTGGAGCATCTGCCCCAAGCTCAGTAGGCAAGGCAGGCCAAGTCCCCAGTTACTCAGAGGTCCGTCTGAAGGAAAAGAGAGAAAATTATTTCCTCAAACCCAGCATGAGTCAGAAAAAGAGACACCGCTGGAGAGAGGAGAGGGAGGGAGAGGGAGGGAGGGAATAAGGGAGGGAGGAAGGGAGGGAGGGAGGGAGAGATTATTTGACATAAGCAGCCCTGGAACTACTGATTTCAGCCATTCAACTAAATCATGGCTTCTCACAAGCTATTTTGTGTCTACATGTTTATTCATATGCCTCTGTCCCCAGCAATCATCGTTAAAAATATTTCTATTTGTATTTCTGCCTTAAAAAGGGATACAAGATTTTCAACTTCTAAAAGGGGATTTTTCCTCCCTGCTGATCAGGAAAAGCAAGAAGTCTCAGAACTTACCTTAGTGCTGAAAACCCAGCTCCTGTGAAGAAATACCCATTTGCAAAGCAGTCAGAATCCACAGCCACCATCTGGAGCTTGTCAAATCCCGAAGAGGTAAAGGATAGAGGTATCAATGAAAAGTGCAGGAGAGATGTGCTCTTAGAAAATAATATTTATATATATATATAAATATTTATATAAATGTGTATCTGTATGTATGTATATAGGTATGTATTCACTCCCAATCCCAAGTTGAAACAAGTCACAAAAAAGTTAAAGCGTGATGAGAGGTGGTTGGGTTGAAGAAGGAGGCAGAGAAAAATATCCAGACAAAGCTTTCTCCAGTGGCGTGGATGGGGAAGGTGGGGGAGAACCTTAGAAAGAATCCAAAACAAAAGAAGAGTTGCAAAAGGTACTGGGACTTAGAAGCCTTTCAGAAAGCCCAGAAACAGAAAGACAGATATGCCTTGCTGGGGTCCCATGTAGCCACCCCACCTGCCGGGCAAGGGCAAACGGACTCCCATGTTCGCAGGCAGGTGGGAGGCGTGGGGAACCGCTGCGAGGCCTGCCCGCCCGGCTGCCGCGCAGCGCGCGGAGGCCGCGGGCCTGCCGGGCTTCTCCGGCTGGCGGCGGAGCTGGGTGGTTCCACAGTTCCCAGTGCAGTTCGGATGCTGTTGTTTCAGCAGTGCAGGCAAGATACCATCCAGGGAAATGACTATTACATCATCTTAAAGGAATAGGGCTTGGAGAAAGCGGAGGAAGCTCCGAGTCACGTCGTCCTCGGTGACAGGTCGCCAGGACTGCACGGGGACGCTGCGCACTGGCCACAGCACGCGACTCCCGAGCTCCAGGCTTGGGGCGGGGACGCGGCGCCGCGGCGCCGCCGCGCAACCACTTCCCTGGGCGTCCTATCCGCGAGTCTGGAGTTTGCAAGGGCCTTCGCTTTTCCTTTTCTTCCCGCCTTTACACCTCCACCGCCACCACCATTCCCCAGAAATAAGCCCCCCAACCCAGCGGTGACATAAACACAAGTGATTATGCATTTGGAAATCCACAAACAAATCTTTGCACATGCACTGAATTTTTGCTGAAGGACAATTTCAGGAAAAGCTTTTTTTTTTAAAGAAAAAGCACACCAAATGAACCCCAATAATCAAGGTACAAAGTGGCTTATCTTTAAAATCAAAGGGGATTAAACCATGTCCTCATTCAGATGCCCTCTTTTTTTTCCCTCTTCTCCATCCCTCTCCCCCCCAAACACCTGCCCAGCATGAATAAATAAATACAATCTCTCTGGAATTATCCATGCTCTTTCCAAAGCATGCATGAGGCACTGATACCCTCAGAAAGCCCACAGTTTACATCAGTAAGTCATTATCTTCGCTTACCTGATAGAAATTGTTACCTGCAACCTTTTTCTGGGGCTGTTTCTTTACTGAGCATCTCTTCGGACGTCCCCAGCCCCCTCCCAACTCATCCCAAGAGGACTTCAGGGGAAGACACTCCCGGCTAAGAGACATTTTACTCAGGTCCCAGAGGGCTTCCTTAAGTGCATCATTATAGTTTCAGGAAGGCATTTCCAGGGCAACCTAATCCACTAACAAAGTGCTTCCAGTCGATCCCGCCAGTCAATAATGGCCCAGCCAACAGCTTACAGTAAGTCGGCCATTTCTCCTTTAAAATGCCAGTGTCTTAGGACTTACACTCCTAATCAGAATATAGCATTTCATCTATGAATAATATATGTGAGGCAAACTCCATCCCAAATAATTGCTACTTTAAAAAAATGAAAACCAAAAATGGAGACAAAAGTATGAATTAGATACATTTTAAGGGATCATGTGTTATTGCCAACTCTTGCCCTGAGAAGTAGCTTAAAGATAGACTCAACAGCAGGATAAATTAATTTCTAGTTTAACAATCTGTTCTTTCAATAAGTATCAGGTTACTGAACACATTCAGAATGTTAGCTAACACTCCAACACCTGATTATATTTGACTTTTTTCCTTTAACTAATGTATTAACCTGTTCTGGCCTCAATCATTGGGATTTTAATGCTGGACCAATCAAGGAAATGTTTATTATTTGGTGCAATTGTATCGCCATCTAGTGTCTATAAACTATCAGTGCAGATCTGTAATTGACCACTTAACCTGAGCCAAAAGTTAGATTTTTTTTCTTTATTTTAAAGTTTTTGTATTGGTTTAAGTATTATTAGACACACACTATTCACCATGATGACAGAATAAAAAGTTAGCTGCCAACAGAACAAGGAAAGAAATGAGTCTGAGTCTATGCTCACTAAGTACTGGGTTTGTCCTAGTTAAAAATAAGCAAATGCTTCATTTTATTTCTAACAGAATAGGCAATACGCCATGACAACAACTTTGGAGATTGAGTATTAAAATATTTTGGGGACAGTTGGGCAGGAAGTGGGGAACAGGAATGAGAAAAACCATAGCCTTTTAAAGCTCAAAGGAACTTGAGGGGTGTCTGGGTGGCTCAGTCGGTTGGGCGTCCAGCTTTGGCTCAGGTCGTGATCTCATGGTTTGTGGGTTTGAGCCCTGCGTTGGGCTCTGTACTGACAGCTAGGAGCCTGGAGCCTGCTTCCAGTTCTGTGCCTCCTCCTCTCTCTGCCCCTCCTGTGCTCATGCTCTCTCTGTCTCTCCATAATAAATAAACATTAAAAAAAATTAAAGCTCAAAAGAACTTGAGAAATAGGAATTACTATCTCAGAGATACGGAATCTGAGGACCAGAGAGGGAAAGTACTTCCACAAAGTCACACAGCTGTGGAGTAGGGGGCGGGGAGGAAGGGTTAGACCACTGCCAATTCAGTATGACCAGTGTCCTTTTTTTAAGTGCACGTATTCTAGAATAGGGATAGAGTGGAAGCAAATAAAGGAAACAAGAATTTCAAGTCTACACATTTGGGAAAAAAAATGGCAGGTCATTTTAAAGAGTTTTCAATATTCAGTTAAATTGCAAGTCCAAAAGATCTTACCATTTAAATAAGAGGATTCTGAATTTAAAAATTGAGGAGTTTTGTTCGTTGGTCTGGGTTTCAAAGGTTAGGCTATTTTTGAGACAGGTAGTTCTTAACCTCTTTTGGATAATGGACTGGCTGGAGAATCTTAAGAAATCTAGAAAATAAATAAACAAGACTAAAAGTTTGCATTCAACGTCAGGGGCAGAGCCTCTCAGAAAGGTCCGAATAAAAAGAGGAACCAGGGAGCAATGTGGGCAGAGACTTACATTCCCAGAACCCCTTGAATTTTGACAGTGAACCTTCTTTTTGAAATGAGATTACATACACACTCACACAGACACACTCTGAGGATTGAAAAAATAAAACATTCACCAGATAACCTTCACCTCATGACCCATATTGGACCACATCACCTGAGATGCACTCTGAATTCATATTGTTTAATAAATACTGTAAGTGTCCTGTGCTTTGCACAGTTGTATTGCTTTATGTTTTGGGGCTTAAAATGTTAATTTATGATGTTAAATTGTTAGAAATACATGACTGTTTTGTTAACCCTCTTTAGGTATATTTACTTTTTAATCTACCTAGAGCCTCCAGAAATCAACAGTGCTTGGGTATCTCTCTCATCTTTTGAGAGGTCAGGGATTTGGTTCCAGATTGGCCTGAAGCCTATTCACCTGGGGTCTGCAGATCCTGGGTTAGCATCTTCTGATGAATACATTTTCTTGTTCCTTTAGTCTAGGGATGCAAACAAATGAGAAGTGAGATTAAGGAGATAACGGGCTTGAAGGAAACAAAGCAATACACCATATAGAGAGATTTAAATAGTGCTGGAGTAAGCGCCTGTGTCTCAGGGAGGCTGTCAGTGAGCCCAGCTGCTTGGTGCCTTAACAAGAGGCAAGAAGCCAAGTCTAGGCTGTAAGCGTATATCTGTCCTCCGTGTCAGCAGATAACACAGCTAGTGTTATTGTTCTCTTCTGGCAGCTCTCCCCTGAAACACTGTGGGATGCCACACTCAGCCCAAAGACCGAACACACAGCAACAGATTTCTCTAAGGGGAAGAGTAAGAAAGAATGTTTCATCCTGTTCTTTGTAATATTCAAGACTCTAGCACATCAAGATACACTATGGGTAAATTGAGGAGTTGATAAAATGTGTCTTAGCCTGTTTCCTGTTCCCTACCTTCATACACCCCCGTAGCTGAATGTTGAAGAGTATATTCTCAAAAGGACAATTTTAATCTTGGAATAATGTGTTCACTTCCCACATCCTTACCTTCTAACACATCCTTAAGTTTCTTCTCCCCTCAA